TAGAGTGACAGATGTACATTACTTTACCCTTAAAAATAATATTGACATAATTACCCTTCAAGAGACTGGGGACAGGAAAGGCGACCTGCTTAAACTGTCTGGATATAAGGGATTTCATCTCTATTCGGGTGAAGGTATAAGAGGGGTCTCAACATACATTAAGAATTCCATACCAGCAGAACTAGTTGGAAGCCCGAGTAGAGTACAAGGAATAGAAAGTGTCTGTATAAAGTTATATTTGAAGGAAGGAGAATTGAACATAGCAAATTTGTATATTTCTGGAGGCTGTTTTGACCTCAACTTCTTACCAGATTGCATGTTTTTGGACTCAACTTTGGCTGTAGGAGATTTTAATGCTCGACATCCAAGACTCGAAACAATGGGGAGAATTAATAGTAATGGTATAAAATTTTGGCAATTTTTACAAGATCACCCAGATGCTTACTTGTTAGGAAATAAGGAAGTGACTCATATTAAAGGAGGAAGGTTAGACTATGCTTGCATGATAAGCAGTCATGGAGTCCAGGGAGAATGTGAGATAATAAGGGAGCTAGTCAGTGACCATTTTGTTGTATATGTTCAATTACCATTAGGGAAGAGACAGGTGAGATATAGGAGGAAGAGATTGAAACTAAACAAGGATGACACAGAAGTGTTTACTCAAAATATAGAGAAATGGTACAGAAATTATACACCAGTCTGTATGGATAGCTTTTATAATGACTTAGTTGGGGAGATAGAAAGATATTTAACTAAGTCAACACAGAAAAAAATAAATGATAAGAGACATGGGGCTAGGAAACACTGCTATACCAATGACAAAATGTTGAAGGGATGGACACAAATGTTAAGGGCAGCACATAAAGATTGGGTAAAGAATGGTAGAAGAGAAGAAGATAGGGAAATCTTCATGGATATAGCCAAAATATGTGGGCAGGCTAGGAAGGAGGCAAGGGAGAAATATTGGCAAGATTTTGCACAGCACATTGGGGAGAGTAAAAATCTCAAAGAAATATGGCAGGATATTAACAAAATTAGAGGAAAAAGGAGTAATTTTATTAGCCATCCTCATCCAGAGGAAGAAGCTAATAAACTGGTTGACAAATGGGCTAAAGCAGCAAGTGTTGCCTCCCTGCCTAACAGGACAATAGAAGCATTAGATGAGTGGCAAAATGAAAGAAAAGGATTTATTTCATCAGCTCTAAATATTTGTGATGTAACATGTGTAGATATTACTAAAGATGAGTTATTAAATGCTGTTAAAAAAGGAAAATCTACAGCACCAGGCGAAGATGGTGTGACATATGAAATTTTGAACTGCTTAGTTGGTCTGGAAAATAGTCCATTATTAGATTTATTCAGCATGAGCTATGCAGAGGGTAGATTACCAACAGAATGGAAGAAAGCGATAGTTATTCCTTTCCCTAAGGCAGCTGGTGGATACAGGCCAGTGTCTTTAACATCTTGTTTTTCCAAGATGATGGAGAGAGTATTATTAAATAGGCTTGTATATATTGTGGGGGAAAATCTATCTTGTAATTTATTTGGTTTTTTGGAAGGGAAATGTACTTCAGACTGTGTTATAAAATGTTTATCAAATGATGCAGACAGATGTAGAGTTTTTGTGGATTTACAAGGAGCATTTGATAAAGCTCACAGTGAAGTAGTTATGAATGAACTGGCTGCTCTAGGGGTATCAGGAAAGTTGTTACACTGGATAGGTGACTACTTGCATGGAAGGAGAATCTGTGTATGGTATCAGGGATGTTTGTCTGAGGAAAGAGCACTTGAACTAGGCACTCCCCAAGGGGGAGTATTGAGTCCAATGTTATTTAATGTGTTAATGAACAAGATAGCCTCACACAAATATCCCAAAGGAGTTGTAACCATCATTTATGCAGATGACATCTTATTTCAAGGAAACTCTGTAAAAAATTTGCAGATTGCATTAAATAATTTTAGTGTTCTTTCTCAAAAGATGGGCTTAGTTATCAATGAAGAAAAAACCAAGTGTGAATGTAAAGGAAGAGGAACTGAATCCGTTTTTCTAAATGGAAAAATTGTAGAGAAAGTGTCAAAGTATAAATATTTAGGAATGTATATTGGCTTTACTAGTGAAAGTAAAGAGGCAGAAATATATCATGTCCTCACTCAATGTAGAGCAAGATTACAGCCCTTGAAGGCACTAGCATGTTGTGGTAAAGGTGCTGGGGTACCCATACTGAGAATGATGTATATTTCTACCATCAGATCACTTATAGACTATGCAGCACCTGTCCTCTCTTGTACTGGTGAAGGAAGGCTACGGAAGCTTGAGATCATGCAAAATGAAGCAATGAGAATAATTTTAGGGTGTCAAAAGAATGCAATGATTGAGATAATGAAAATGGAACTAGGGTTACAGAGCATTTCACAGAGGGTCAATGAAATTAATACAGTTGCAGCAGTTCGATTAATGAGAGGGAACAGTGGGGGTAAATTTGTACAAGATATAAATGATGGTTTAAAAGATAAAAGGACCTTCTGTAGGCAAGGCAAGAGAGGATACATGAATGGATTAGTAAATAATATTAAAAAATGTAATCTGGCAGACTGGTGTACAGCTGTTCAGAAGAGTTGTAAGAATCCACCCTGGGAAGAACGAGACGTAGAGTTAGACATAGTGCCTCTCACAATGAAGAAATCATTACATGAACCAGGACAGTTAAGGGCTTTATATGGGAATAAGATTAGTAATTTGCCTAAAATAAACACATTGCATGTATATTGTGACGGTTCAGTTATGTCAAGTGGCAGGGCAGGGGGTGGGATCCTATAAGACAGTACACAGAACAAGGAAATGATGACATCAAAATTGGACTTCGGTTGAGCAGTTTTATTTCATCAACACAAGCTGAGTTATATGCAATGTTAGTAGGATTGGAAAATGTTGTAAAGAGGTATAAAGATGCATATTTTTTTGTTGATAGTAGGGCAGCTTTGGATTCTTTGAACAGTGGGAGTCCAGTCTTTGGACACATTATTGGTTCATGTAGAAAATTAGTAAATACAATAAGGAAAAATGGCCATAATGTTCAATTTGTATGGGTCCCTTCACATGTGGGGATTGGTCTTAATGAAGCAGTAGATATAATAGCAAAAAGAGCCACGGAAAAGGCCGAGATCGACATAATATGTACTAAAACCTTGAAGCAATTAAGGAGCAAATTACGGAAAATACAATCAATAGAAGATAATTTCAAAAGGAATGAAATATACGAGAAAAGTGAAACAATGAAACATTACCATCATGTTCTCATGAACACAAAATTTACATATGGGAAAGATAGGAGTAGGTGGAAAGATTCAGTGTATATGAGGTTAAGATTAGGATATAAATATTATTGGGAACTTGGAGCTGAGAGAAGTGAACAGGATAAAGAATGTAGAGTTTGTAGAACATCCAGATCCCATACCCTGCCACATTATATACTGGAATACCCATTGCTTAATGTATATAGAAATGCCCATATAAATAATGTCCCCATGCAAATAGAGTGGATGTTTGGAAATGGGAAAATAGATGAAATATTAAAGAAATATAGAAATTTTGCATCTAGAATATAACTATGTATTATAACTAATTATATGAAATATTAGGGATTTATGTGAGTCCTGAGAGGGACATTCCTGGAATGGGGTGAGGATGACTTATGTCACTTCATCCCTTTGAGATGTATTAATGTTTTTTTGTATCTCAATAAACGTATCAATCAATCAATCCTAAGATGTCTCCACACACAACGCTTCCGTGACGCCTGTTGGACCACCACTCCACGACCCCCTGACGGAGACACGATGATCCTCCCAATACTAGCCAGTTATTTTGTAAAAAACATTGATTATGTGTTAAAGGAATATCCTTCCTTTCTTAGGTTTTAGTAAGCCCCTTTATAATATTTATGCTGTATATACTTGTCACACTTGCCAGATGCATCTGATGTCATTGTACAGGGGTACCTAGTGACAGCACTAGGATCCCGCTTCCTCTATCAAGGAATAAACAATTGAAATTGAAAATTGAACTGCACAGGCTAGCTAGCTGCAGCACTCATACTGTATTCCTGCCAGAAGTAGTGCTTGGCAGAGATGCCAAGTACGATGCTGTTACCAGCTTTGGACTTCTGACCCCAGGACTCGGCTGAATATGCTGTAAATGTTGTTCCTCTTTAATGGTCGTTAATTATGCCTGCACATCTCTTCATTTCCGATTTAATGGAATATTTCTGCTGGTTACCGTCATTTAATTTGGTTTATTTTAGGCATGATAAAGGATTAATGTGTGGCTGTGCATTATTGCATTTATAATGTGCTTGGTGGGATTTTTTGGGTGGAGGCCATATGTGTTTTCATAATGGAGTTTTGTTTTCTATGTATGATGATATTTAACCTTTCAGGAGCAAAATAAGGAACATGTGCTGGAGGTGTGTGTCATCTCTGGTGCTTGGTGGCTCAAGCTATGCGAGCAGGCTGCATAGTTAATTGTTTTTGCTGTGTATTCATACACCAGGCCACGTGAAAGAGTTCTCTCTGTCTGCTTTGATCTGTTGCGTTGTGTGGTAGTGTCAATACTGTGTCAAAATGTTTTTTGTAATGCCTCCTACTCATTCACACATTTTATACACACACAATCACAAAGTTTAGCAATTATTAAAATATTTGTGTCGGTGTGTCTTTATAGTAAGTGAATTTTTTACACCCATGGTGAATCAATAACTGAGCAAGAATTATAGTACAGTACTCTATTTTGACCTTAACATGCAGAGGTCAGCTTATCTTGTGTTTTTTTCACAGGAAGATTACTAAAAGATGTGGCATCATATGGTATAAACGATATATTTGCTATTTTTTACAGTATAATCACAGTCAAGAGATGTAAGCCTGGACTTGTGCACCATGCAGTGAGTGGTGATGAAGCTGACTCATAGATGGCGCGGGTGGCAGCATCACTCCGCTAGTTGCTCCTCCGGGTAAACAACGCCCTGGTCACTCAGGTCGACGCCATTGTGGTTGCACGGAAGATAATTGTCAAGAGCATCAAGCGTCCCCTGAACTTATACAGGATACAATATATTCTGGTGATACAGCCCCGTGAATGTATACAGGATACAATATATTCTGGTGATACAGCAGGGAGGCCTATTGCACAATGTAAGTCCACTTAACCAAGGTTAATTTAGGGAAGTCATCCAAAGAGTATTTCCATTATGGTCCGCGATAAATAGATCCTTAGTCATTAAAATTACCATCCACTTTTGTGTTGCCAAGGTGTAGAAAACGGCTACCACCAAAAGTTGTTTGTTGATTTTGGTATACTAATTGTTTTGATTATTTTAAGTATATTAATAGAGATGACAACTTTCTATTATGATTTTAAGTATATTTTTGTTATTTACTCTATCCCGCTCCTCCCGGCGCCATTTTTGTTGTTTATCTCTCGCTAATTCCCTCGTTTCCATAAATAATATTGGTGACTCTTCCACGTATTCCTCCTCGCCATTGCTGATTTATATCAACCTTAAGTTGTTTAACACATAAATTAACACGATAATGCATAGAACCTGACCTAACATACCCAACCTATGGGTATGTTAGGTCAGGTGTTCTCTGCATATTGTCGCTTCCATTTTTGTGTTTAATATGATAGTAAATTTGTATAAGCGCACCCAACTTTGTTGGAAGTCAAAAAATAAATTTTTCAAGTGTATTTGTGTGTGTTTAGATCGGTTATGACCTTCATTTCCGTCGGAAATTTTCCGTTTTTTTTTTTCTCAACTTTTTGTTGTTGGGGCGTTTTCCGAAAAAAAAATAATGGCTAAGCGAATACAAAATGAAAAAAAGAAAACACTAGAAAAACATAAACCAAACCTAACCTAACCTAACTGACTCACCATGTGATGGAATCACTAATTCTTACCCTATTGGCCTGGTTCTCGTGCGTCATTGGAGTTACCACAATGCCTCATATGTTGTTCTGGACATTTACATTCGTTCTTGCACTTAAGACACTTTACTGAGGTCGGGAGAACACCATGAGATCGATAAATTGCTATAATTTCTTCTTTTTAAAAAAAAAATGCAATTAACTCCATATAATTGAAGTGACACCCATCGCAGACTTCCATGGTCAGAAATGAATTTGAATTTCGAAATATGAGACTCGAAATAAAAATCAATTTTGATTGGCCCAAAAATACCTTTAATTAAACCAAAAATCATTTTAATTGGTTGCAAAAAAAAAACCCTCTTGATTGGCCGCGTGACGTGTACGGGAACACATGCGCGTGATGATTTATGAAGGAGACACGCAGTGTGGGAGGTGAGGTAGACGATAATGGTGGAAGATTAATGGAAGAAAATAGAGAAAATTTTGGATACTCTATCTCCGTTATTATACATTTGTGTCGGTAATGTAATAGATAAAAATTATCTTGTAATTAGACGTCTTGTATGACACTAGATTAGGGGTAGGAATGTCCGGTGCAAAAGTGTAATAATACCAATATGATGTTAGTGTGTAGAAAAATTTCAACCAATTCAGACAAGTCCTTCTGGTGGTAGCCGTTATCTACACCTTTACCTTTTGCACCAATACGCTGCCTCGTCAAAGAAGAGAACATTCAAGGTGATACTCTCTATTTTTTAATAGATTTTATGTTCGTTAGCTCGTGTTTATTAACTATTTAAAGGTAAATATATGGCTAGTTCTGTGATGCAAACACCATCAATTCTTCGGCTTTTTCAATCAATTAAATGGTACTATGATTTCAGGCTTGATGATGATGTAGGAGATATTGAAGAAGCTGTTGGTGATAATTATGAAGTGGCAATGGTGAGATGACCTGGTGAAATGAGAGATGAACCCTCGTCCTCCCTGTGGTGAAATGAGAGGAGATGATCCCTCGTCCTCCCTGTGGCGAGATGAGAGATTAACCCTCGTCCTCCCTGTGGTGAAATGAGAGATTAACCCTCGTCCTCCCTGCGTCGCCTCAGTAGGTAAGAGCAACCTCTAAATTATATGTTAACATTTTATATAACTCAATAATTATATCAGTAAGTTTGTTTAGCACATAATTTTTTGTTATTTATGATGAAAATACTTATATAGTTTATTCTTGTTTACCTTAACTAACTAAAACCTTATTATTAGTTTATTACCATGAAATTGGGTAATTTGGTGACGTACTTAATTCAGTGTTAATGTCTTATATTTAACATAAACCAAACCTAATATATCAAACTTTGTCATACTTGAAGGTAAGGTATTGTAAGATGGTTAGGTTAGGTTGGGTTTGGTTGTTAGGTTAAGTTTGGTTGGTCGGGTTAAGTTTGGCTGGTTAGTTTGTTTGGTTTGTTAGGTTAAGTTTGGTTGGTTGATGATTTGTGGCTTTTAGACAGATTTGTAAAGTAACAAAATAAATGTTACTTGAGTATTGTACTCGAGTAACATTTTTGGGTGTTTACTTTTTAAAAATTACTACTACAGGTTGTACCACTCTATAGTCCGGCATTCTGTGGTCCGGAACGATTTTAGTTTGTCCAATAGGTAGATAGGCAGTTATTTTTTTTTTTTTACTAATCTGAATTATTATTATTATTACAGGAGTATTAAATTTTTGCCCCTCAGGCCCCAATGTGGGTCAGTGACCTATGCCCTGGTGGGCTAATCCCCTTAAAAAAAAAGCAGCGAGAAATTAAGGTTTGTTTATATCCGGCAGTTCGGTTGCTCTCTCTCTCTCTCTCTCTGCTTGTCTATACAGAGTACAACATTTAACCCTTCAATATATATGAGGCAGTAAATAAGTGTTGCTTTCATATTCTTATGTAGAGTAATGACGATATATTTTCACATGTGCGCACTTACATACGAGCAGTCTCACTTTTTTTTTTACCATTAATGGTTAGCTACTTATATTGTTCCATTTATTAACATTAAATAACATTACAGGTACTTCAAGCAACCATATTCATTTTTTACATTAATTTTACTACAGCTAAACTCAGGGTCTTATTTTCTTCAGTTTTATATGTAGAACCAATCAGTCACTGGTTTCGTAAGCTTTAACATAAACAATGCCGGCAGCCGTCTCGTCTCCTCTAATATTCCACGTATTATTAATAAATTGTATTGTTAATTTTGCACACACGTACATTAATTCAATAAAAACAAATTCAGAAACATTAATTAAAATATATATGAACAGTAAATAAGTGTTGCTTTCATATTCTTATGTAAAGTAATGACGATATGTTTTCACGTGTGCGCATGCGCACTTACATATGCGATCTCTCTTTTTTCTTTACCATTATCGTTAGCTACTTCTATTGTTCCATTTATTAACATTAAATAACATTACTTAAAACAACCATATTAATTTTACTACAGCTACAGCCAAGGTCTTATTTTCTTCAGTTTTATATGTAGAACCAGTCAGTCACTGGTTTTGTAATCAACGAAAACAATGCTGTGTCATTTCCTCGTGTGTTTTAATATTCTACGTATTATTAATGAATTGTATTGCTCATTTTGCACACAAACATTAATAAAATAAAAAAGACATTCAGTAATAAACAATAATGAATCTTTTGTACATAAGAGAAATGACGCTGTTTACACGATTATGCACGTCGTCTGCACGTTGGCGGGCCATTCAAACCTGTCGAAATTCAAGTTTCCGCCGTCAAAATTTTTATTTATTTATTTTTTTGTGTGTTCCAATAAAATACATTAAGAATTAAAAACTCGCGAAATTTGAGAAGGTACTATACGACATTTAACCCTTCAATATGTCTTCAAAGAGACCATGACGCAGAGAAAGTGGTGCTAGTGCTTCCAGGCATAAGCACAAGTCACTATCTATCCAGGAAAAGGGTGAATTTCCATGGTCCGGCACCGGTCAGGTCCCGAGGTTGCCGGACTAGAGGGGTACAACCTGTACTTGGAAATTATAAATAAAATAATTTGTAGAATTTTCTGTGGCCAAAAATACTGTTTTATTTTAAATCCCAGTCAAATAACCTGTGGTTATTAAGCCAGATACTGGTCAAATAACCCCTGCCTATAATATAATAGTTTTACAGTGCAGTGTTGTGTATTATACTGTACATAGTTATTTTTCTTATTTCCAGGAAGTTTCAAGGACCAACAACACATCTCGGTATGACAAGCTAAGACTCAACTAAACAAACTGATGAAACACCTCTGACCTGTGGGACACACTTGTATGTGATGCCATCAACAGCAACTGATGAAACACCTCTGACCTGTGGGAGGTGAGACTTATACAGATATTCTGTTACTTAACATCATGTTATCTAATGCTTGTGTTTATGTACTGTACAGTACTGTAGTATTTAAAACATGAATTACACTGTGCCAGTAAATTATAAATCCTCTTTATATGCCTTTTCTCAAGAATATCGGCTAACTTTATAATTTAAGCATTTTATCGTTCACTTTCCAGAAAAGAAAACATCCAGTAACAGTATTCCCAATCAAAATTCCTGACCCCTTATCTTGTGTTTGAGTACATGAGGGCATGGCATAGATTTTGTTTAAATTTCATACAAAGATGCTCGTTTATATGCTGATTAAGAATATAGATTTAAAATACACAATCGTGTATTCCTCTGAAAGTGTGCATTTATGTAAATGTTTATAAAAGAGAGAGTGTGTGTTTATATGCATTTGTGTTTGTTTAAAAGTGTGTGTGTGTTTTGTATAAATATTTGAATGTGTTTTAGTGTAAAAGTGTTAGTGTTAAGTATACAAGCTCTTGTGTAACATCAGGTATAAAAACAAATGTCAAGATTAGTTATTGCTTAAACTTGACTCAAAATTAACCTTTTGGCCACCCACTAGAGGTGGTCATTGAATTGAATTGAAACAGTTTATTAGCCAGAAAAACACAGATCCAGAGTGGATAATAATAACAATATTAACATGGCTGAGCCAGTTGAGAACCTGAGCTGCACCTGATTATAGTAATATACTATACATTTATCTCAAGGAAATATTATGTAACATTTAGTATCATCTGGAATAGTACAATAACATGGTGGTAATAAGAACATCTCATAATGTTACCACGGTTATCACTTCAATATTTATTTATTTATTTATTATATATATATATATATATATATATATATATATATATATATATATATATATATATATATATATATATATATATATATATATATATATATATATATATATATATATATATTACCCTATATACATAAATTACAGTGAAATTGAAGAACATAAGTATAATGGGGGAGCAGTACAGTATGGGTTGTACGGATGTAAGGTTGAACAAGAGGACAGAGCTGTCAGGATTATGTCTAGTTGGCAAATACAGCTACTCCTCGACTTACGACCACCCTTACATTCGACCGCCCCAGTCGTACCAAATTTTTTCAAATTACATCTTTTCGAGTCCCGACGTTAGTGATTGCACTGTATACTGACAAAAAAAAATTTTGGAATTCCATTTTAAATTTCTGGCATGCTTAAAGTGAGAGTTTTGTGGTGCTGAGAAGAAAAAGAGACACCCATTTTAGATTTTCTATGTATCATCACATTTTTGACTTCTGACCAATTCGACTTACAACCTGGATTTGGGTCCCTAACCCCATCGTAAGTCAGCAGTGGCTGTATGTTTATTGCAATGATAATTTCCGATAAAACGGTTTTGATGGTACAATAAAAGCTGGTATTGTAAATATACAGCTCCTCCCCGACTTAGACGGGGTTATGGACCCAAATCCAGGTCGTAAGTCTAAAATGCTTAAATAATACATAGAAAATCTAAAATGGGTGTCTCTTTTTCTTCTCAACATCACAAAACTCTCAACTTTAAGCTTGCCAGCTATTTTAAAGTGAATTACAAGCAAAAATTTTGTCTGTACTGACATTGGGACTCGAAAAAACGTAATTTGACAACATTTTGGAACGACTGAGGCAGGTCGTAAGTCGGGGAGGAGCTGTAGTAGGTATTGCAAGAAATATTAATACTTAGACAAAACTGTATATATTTTTTAAGAGATGATTTAAAGGAAGGGAGTGTAGTCTTTGCTCGGATGGGTGGGGGTAAGTTCTTTCACACCGTGATATTTTATGGAGGTCTGGGACTGAGAGGAGCACATAGGGGGTGGTCTTAGTAGCTCTGGGTGCCTTTAGTTGTATCTCTGATTATTCCGGAACTGGAAATAATTATTGTCAAGCAAGTGATTGATAGATTGTAAACAAAGAGGGCACAGCAGTAGCTGTTAATATCTTCGAATTTTAACATTTTCAATTTAGCAAATTTTTCGTTAGTGTGATCTGTTTTTTTCAAGTAGGTCATTGTCCATACAACTCTCTTTTGTGCAGTAACCAGAGAGTGTGCTTTTGAAGAGCCAAAGGCCCCTCATAGTGTGTGACAGTGTATCAGGTGTTGGTAAACAAGATCATGATAGATTTCTTTCATTGCTGTGAGAGTGAGTGACTGTTGTGTGTGATACATGAAACTGCACTGTTTGATGACTTTTCTGTGAATGTCTTGTATGTGGTTTCTCCAGTTAATTTTCTCATCAACAATAACTTCGAAGAATTTAGTATTTTGTTCGCTTTTGAGGACTATATTACCAAGGTACAGGGGGTTCAAGTCTGGGGGTAAGTTTTTTCTTCTGTGAAAGATCGTGTAGTGGGTTTTCTCAAGGTTTAAGGTCAGTTTATTATGTATTACCCAGGTCCTGACTTTAGTTAATTCAGTGTTCATAGTTCTCATCAAGGAATGGAGGTCTGAGTTGCTGGCATAGAGATTACTATCGTCTGCAAATAAGTTGTATTTTATGAGTGAGCTGGCGTGGACTATGTCGTTTATGTGTACTGTACAACAAAAACAGTACTGGACCGAGAATGATGAGGAAAGGTCTCTGTAGGATACCTCCTTTGTTGTTGACAGTCTTGTCTAGGACTATTTTGAAGCACAGTACTGTTCCTGCTGATTGGTTTACTAGTCTCTGTGTGAAGAAACATTTCCTTACGTCATTCTGCATGATAAGTTTGTAAGCTTAGAGTCATGCTCCATTGTATTGGTGCATGACATCTAAAAAGAATGGCCGGGATTCATGTTTTCCATCCCTTTTAAATTTTGAATGTGTATGAGTTGTGCCTTTTTGTGTCTTGTCTGAAGGGTTGTTAGTCCTCCGGCCCTCAGTTTATTTGGATAACCAAGATGACAGAGTTCAGGGATTATTTTAGTCACCATGTTGCACCTTTTCTAATGATGTTTGGTCTTTTTGAAGGTAGTGTTTACATGCCATGTATCCAGTAATCCAGACTGGGACATACTTGAGATCTGTACAGTTAAAGGAGCATTTTCATATCTTTGTATTTGAAGGCTATGCTTTATAATTCCCAAATCTTAATTTTTTTTTTTTTTTTTCACTACTGCCTCCACTTGTTCTGCCGCCTTCAGTGACTGATCTATGACAACACCAATATCTTTCTCCTTATCGACAGTATCCAGGAAAGTGTTACTAACAGAATGGTGGTGATTTAGGTTGTTGCATCCTACATGCAGAGTCTTGCATTTTGTGTTGTTAAAGGTCTTATGCCAGTCTCAAGACCATTTGAACAGCTTGTGCAGATCTTTTTGCATGGTTGCTACATCGTCTTGTCTTGCAACCTTCCCAAATATCTTCATGTCATCCACAAACTTAACAATATGTCTTGATGTAATTTCATCTATGTCATTTATGTAGATCTCAACAGGTTGGATTCAAGAATAAAACTTTGTGCTATACTACTGAGAAATGTTTTCCATTCTGAATGTACTCCATTTATGACCACCCTTTGTGTCTTGTCATTGAACCTGTTGTTAATGCACTTTAAAATTTTGCCTATGATTCTATGTGGCTGGATTTTAGAGACTACCTGTGAATGTGGGTCTTTGTCAAGTGCCCTTAAGTCCACGTATTATGCCCGAGATCAAAGGTTTGCTTGACCCCAAATAAGATAAAACAGCACACTTGCATCAGAAAACAGTCAGGATAAGTCAGTTCAGAGACTCCGTTCCACCACGGGGATCAAAATTTTGACAGTGACTGTACTACTCATCCACTGGTAGACCTTGGTCCATGTAATGTGTTACCATTTCAAGGAAATTGAATAAGTGTGTCAAACAGGATATTCTCTATGGAACCGTGTGATACATTGATCAGACTACTCGGTCAGGTGTTGGAAGATTGTGTCCTTCAGAATTTTCTCAAGAGTTTGTGTATATAGTGAGTTGACATAAAGCAAGGGTCAGGTGATTGTGGGCCAGAGTTAGTTTTTCCCTGATGTGGACTTTGTCCACCATTGCTACCTCTGTTGTCAAGAGTATATCCAGAATGTTTTTTCTCTAGTAGGTTCCTTCATGTGTTGTGTCTTGAAGGTCAAGGTATGCTCCTCAGCTTGTATGGTAAGAGTCACCCAGTCTACTGTCTGTTCTGGATGACATTGGAGTCTGTCCACTTCTCCCTGTGAGGTTGAGTCAGCCTTATAACACACACCTACTGTCACCTTGCTTTTTGTTCTCTGTTATTAGTTCACACCAAAAGTAAATTTGGATGATTTAGTTTCATTCGCTCATCATTACTGGTTATTGTCAGGTGCTCCATGACACAGTAGTACACCACCACCTGTCCTTTCTGGATGGTGAGTGATAACCTGGTAAACACATCTTCTCAACCCCAGGATGTCTGCCTGTTCTGTATCCACCTATGCATTTAAGTCCAGTCTTATTAACTAGACTGGTGTCATTCTTGTTTCATTCAGGGTTTTGTTCTCTCGGGGTTACTAGTATTACTTAAAGCTACACTTGTGATGTGCAACTCCTATACAGTATAAATTCCCACATTTCTCACTGTCTCTCCTTCCCTCCTCCACCTCAGGTTCTTTATAATGCGATTGTCTTTGTGTTTGTTTATTTGCAATTGTTCTCGTGACATGTTATGTTAGTCAGTCCCAGGTGCCACGTTATCACTGTGTTGGAGTTGTCTTATTTATTGCTTTAGTTTACTGTATCTTGTTCTTTATCCTCTACACTAGTAATACAGGTACACCACCAATTTTCCGGCACCTTTGGTTCCTGAGCCTTGCCGGACCATCCGTTTTGCCGGATTAACAGAGGTCATATATAATAATTAAGCAATACACCTTTGAGCCACTTGGTATACACCCCTTCCCCCCGGTATTTTTAAAGCACCATGGCTGCTAGAAACTCATCACTCTATCATGTTCAGTACTCTTACTGTCTTTCAATGTTTTTCTAATGCACACTTGCTTCTTGGAACCACTTTCTGCATAGAATCTCGTTACTTTTCTCTTTGCTTCTTTATATCATACACAGTTGACGAACCAATACCATACTGATCACACACCCGTCACACCGAAACACTACTGTCGAGTTTTCTCAAGAGTTCCACCTTATCTTGTATCGATGTGGACTGGTGTTTACGCTTTACACCACCACTGACACTTGTACTTGCCTTTGAAGCCATAGCTGGGGTTAGATATGTCCAAAATAAGCTGAGAATTACACAAAATGAAGAAGCTACCACCAGCAACTGCAGAATAAACAAACAAAGCGAGCGCGGTTAACACGCAATACCATCTGTGGGCAGCCCAGTAAACTAATCTGGAGGTCGCGAGAATTTTGTCCGGGTTAAAAGAGGTGCCGGACCATCCGTTGCCGGAAAATCGGTGGAGTACCTGTAATTAAATCCCTAACTTGGTCTTTTTGTGTTTGTGTGTGTATATAAGTGTCAAAGTGTTTGTGTTTAGAGTACACCCACCTCTCGTTTTACGTGGGGGTCACGTTCTTGAAAACCACCGCTAAATTAAAAAACGCTTAAATTAAACATAAATTTCCCATAAGAATACATGTAAATGGTACAGGTTAAGGGAACCATCAAATGCCACACAGGGTACGAACAGTGCTCTCACTTAAACCAAGCATGCGGCCAACTCACACACACTCCTCTCTGAAGGCCGGTGATCACATTTAATTTCACGTCCATTGTGATTGTTTTTCATGCCTTTTTAGCTTTAGGCGTCCCAGAGGCAGATGTGTGTTTTACAGACATGGTCAATGGGGGAAACAGCATTTAACACTAAAAAGGTACGTGATAAACACAATGCAAATTGGAGCACAGAGAAGTAGTAGTGCTGGTGTGAACTGAGAAAGTGATACCCGGGAAGCTTGCTGGACGTGGTCAAAGTTGTTGTGCAGAATACTTCATTATCTTCACCATTAAATGTAATAATCTTTATTATTACATTATTATAATTATTATTATTATTATTATTATTAATAATATAGAATTTTTGATGTTGATATGACTGCGACTTTATAGTAATAACTTACAAGTACCTCAACAGGCATCACACGCGACTCCACTGCCAGGCGACCAGGTGAATACACGATGCAAATTTAAACTGTCTTGAGCGCGTTATTTAAAAAATAGGTGCGTGTAAATTAGCTTTTGGTATTAATTGAACAATCGCGTTGTTCCAAAAACGCTTAAATCAAACGCACGTAAAACGAGAGTTACCTGTATATAAAGTAAAAGCATAAAATCATTTTAACACCTGTGCTGAACTGATATTCCAGCCCAGGTGTGCCACAAGAAATATGAAGATTAGTTATTACAGAAAAAAAAAATTTAACCCAAAGTTGATTGTAAATACATAAATACCTCTGTCTCATATTTTCTCTCTTAATTATGTTAATAACTTTAAGCTTTGCATATCATCGTTTATCAATTTTGATACCTTACAAATACTAGTTTCTTTTTTACTTTTTCTACTTGTATGTTTCACTTCAGTTAATTAAACTTTTGTTTTGTGTAAGTAGTTTTGAAGAAAGCTACTTTATACAAATTATAATTTGTACAAAGCAACAGTGTAGTACTGTACTTTATTTTAAGTAATACTTCCAGATACTTTCTCCATCACTGTCTAAAGTGGACCTGAATTGAGCTGGACCTGATGTGAACTAGACTAAAGTGGGCTGGACGTGCAAGTGAATGAGATCTGAAGTTAACTGGACCTAAAGGACTAGATGGTAATTACTTGTAATTACTATTTTCTGGTACTTTGAATATTAGGAAGGTTCTACAGGCATTCCCCAGTTTATAAGAGAGTTCTGTTCCTGTAAAACCTTTAGTAAATCAGATAAATTTTCCCATAGACTCCCATTATAAAAGCCAAGATACTTTTCTATAATGAAAATACTAACCCAAAATGTCTTAATCCTTAAGCCCTGGGTGACGTTGCAGAACGTCCGCCTATTTTCCCATGACACAGAGTGAGAGTTAACACTGTGGTGTTAATAACTTTAATAAAGTGAGGATATTACTTCAATAATTATGTAAGAGATAAAATCACAAAGTAACTTCATGAAATTACCGTTTACTGTATCTTAAAGTATAGTTCAAGTCTTAATGATCAAATTTTTATGTAAAAAATTGGGGTCAAACTATACACGCATAATATTTTTGAGGGGTTACAATTTATGCATTTCCATGGGTCATTTACAGTGAATGATAGTACCTGGTACAGTACATGCTTATGGTAGGTTAACCTTACCAGTAAGCTCCTTTATCCTGGGCTTGCCTGTCTACCTCAAGATCATTTTTTTATGTAGCTACAGGAAGAGCAGAACCTTTCACTATACAGTATATGCTGCTTTAAATATACAAATGCCTGATAGAATTGATTTAGATATTTTTCTTTGCATCTGTTTAAATTACTGGGAGATTATCAACTTTCCCCACCTGTGAGCTGTATGCCATGTTATGGTCAGAGTGAGGGAAGAGTGGACAAAAGTTAATTGAGAGGGAAGACTGCTGGAGACATAATTGAAGAGTATTACAGTGAGGGAGGGAAGGCTGGTGATATGAATTAAAACTATACTCAAGTAACGTATATGTGGGAGAAACTTGACTAGAACATAAGACTTTACTGTACTGTTATAAGGGCCTGTGCCTCTTATAACAATTTTACTTATAATCATTGGTAGTGTGACGAGAGGAGGCTCGGGGGTATATGTAATGATAGTATCAAGTAATAGGGAAGAAATAACGGTAGATACTGTAGGTAAATAATAGACACAATATACAAATACAATATTTATTTAAACATTAAAATGGAGATAGGAGAAAGAATATATGTACCAACAGACGAAACCTGGTACTATGCCCTCAGGCTCAACATACTCACACCACTACTGGGTGGACATACTCAATAACACTCACACCACTACTGGGTGGACATACTCAATAACACTTAAACTCTTATCGTAACTTAGCACCATAAAGACCAAGGACAACTGCCACTACAACACTCAGTAGTCAGGAGTGATAATCAAGCAACCGCCATGGGGGTCCTGCCACCATGGGGTACTTTCCAATGAACTCTGAAGAACCCAGTGGAATAACACAACCACACCATAGCCCTACTGAGTTAGACACTCATCCACCAATGATGGGGGCTGGTAGTTGTGTGGGGCTTGGTGATCCGGGGTCACCTCGCGGGCCGAGCGTTAGGGTCAGACTGGCCAGCTATGGGGGCCATAGGTAGTCTGAAGTGTCTGACGGTTGGGTCTCACGAAGATAACTGATCCTACTGGACCTCGGACATCTCTCCAGACATAGTGGATACAACATCCACCCTACAGACACGGCCTAGGCTGTGTTAGGGACCTGTATGGGTGAAGGGGCGAGCACTTACTAACTGTGACAGCGACACCACGTTTCAGGGGACGTTAAAGACGTAAACATTACTTCACTCAGAGCATATCAACTGCGTTACTGTAACACTTGCACAATCAACTATTAATTGGGTCAAATCACTTAAAGAAGGGCGAATCACAACACAGAGTGGAATGACCTACCTGTATGGGTGAAGGGGCGAGCACTTACTAACGGTTGAAATGCCCGCAGCACTCTCACTCAAGCTAGGTCAGGGACTCCACCTACTTCTATTTCGATGAATTACTTTACTGTACACTCTGACGTTGAAACTGAGACTATGAACTCAGTTTCATTTCCTACTATTATCTTCACTAACAATGCTCTGACTGAGCTATCAAAAGCAAAAATTAAATTGATTACCAAGGGTTGGATGGCAACAGGTCCCAACATACAGCGTCTTGCTACGAAATTCGCAGATTATATTCAAAGTTCCCTTTAGACAAAGACGGCCTCTCGATGACGTCATCAAGGAAACAGAGAAAACAGGGGACGTTTCCACTGGGGGACTCAGGTTTTGTGGACGTTTGAGCGTAAAATGAATCCTTAAGGTTTTTAGGTTAGCCGTCATCACGATCATGACACTGGGAAGGAGGTTTTTGGACCAGCATGCTTGTTTGTCCAATGGTTCCAGGAGTCAGGATCCTCTTGGAGGAGAACCCTGGCCCTCGGATCTGGCATCAGCCAGGTTCAGGGACTCCCCATTTTTTTTTTCTTATCGTTGCCCTCCTCCTTTATCAACTGGAATGGACATTGTGAAGTCCAGCATAAACAAATGGAAATGAAATTGTAGAAGAAAAGTGCAAGATTTTAATGGTTTATTATGAGAATACTGTATTGTATTGGTGTAATGTCTGTATGTATTGTCTCTTTTCATCAGTCATCTATACAATAGTCACTTACCAATGTAATTTGAAGAATCATCAACTGCATTTGCCCCCTTTCCCCCACCCCTTTAGAACGGGGGTCAGAAGTCTGTTCTGGGAAATGCCTTACTCTCGGAACATTGTATCTCCGTTCTAGAGGATTCGGACATTTCTGTATCTGGGATAAGGAGCTTCCTGGAGGAGGTAACTGACCCTAGGAGCAGCATTTGCTGTGTCTCAGAAGTCAGTGTCAGGCTGCGTAGGTTCCCTTTTTTTGTAAGGGTTTGGAATTGCTCATCCAGGAAGTGCCAAACCTAGGACAAGGAGAGCCGGTCCTGAACTTGGTTAGCCTTTTTTTTATCCTTTTGAGCTGGGGTCAGGAGGCTTCTTCCAAGAGGCTTTTGGACCAGCATTCTTGTTTGTCCAGTGGTTCCAGGAGTCAGGATCCTCTTGGGGGAGAACCCTGGCCCTTGGACCTGGCATCAGCCAGGTTCAGGGACTCCCAATTTTTTTCTTATCGTTGCCCTCCTCCTCTATCAACTGGAATGGGCATTGTGAAGTCCAACGTGAACAAATGGACAGGAAATTGGAGAAAAGGATGGGCGATTTTTTTTATATGTATTTTAATGGTTTATGAACATAATGTTATTGTATTGTTTTTCTTCTGTCATGTATAGTCACTTACCAATGTAATTTGCTT